GGGATCCCATAGATAGAAATTTCTTTTAGAAACTTTCTAGAAATTTCTCTATTATTTTATAAATTTCTCTTTTTTGCCAACACTAAATAGTCGACATCACATCGAAATGGTTTATGTAATATATGGACAACTTTTTTTTGATGACATTTTAAATTGGATTTTTTTTCGAAAATAATTTATTACAATTATCATAATTACATTTTTAAATTGTTAAAATCTCTAAATGAACGATAGATTTATGTCGATTTAATTGTGAATTATTAGTAAAATATTTCCGACAATCGTTGTTTGATATTTTGCAAACATATTTATGATTGAAATGTTTAGCACTTTTATGATTATATAATGATTGATGACATTTGAATATTTTATTACAATAATCACATATAACTTGTCTAACAGATGAATGTATAATTTGATGAATAGTTAATTTATTTTGTTTATTAGTTTTATACCGACATTTAGGCCAAAAACACTTGAATCGCGTGTTATTGTTGTTGTTATCCACACGTGTGTTGTTGTTGTTGACATAACAGTCACTATAATCAGTGATTTTCATAGAAATACAATCATTTGTTGTTTGGATATTCACTTTATTTGAGCATTTAATTGTTTCATACAAAATTTCCATAATTTTTGTAACTAATTTATTTTTTAAACAATTAAAATCTAATGATTTTCTTAATTTACTTAATATAGTCGACTTATGTTTTAAATTATTAATTTCATTATTTATTGACTCCATATTGTTATAAATTATTTTTTTTCAAATATTATTTATTTATTTTTTAAAAACACAGTACTAACAAAGTTTCTGCAAAAATATAAATTGATATCAATATATATATATATATATACAGGATATCAGTATATTTATATATAGACAGAGAGAGAGAGAGAGAAAGAGAGAGAGAGAGAGAGAGAGAGAGAGAGAGTGAGAGAGAGAGAGAGAGAGAAAGAGAGTGAGAGAGAGAGAGAGAGAGAGAGAGAGAGAGAGTCATAAATTTTGTACACTTTAGATATACAATATCTATTAGACCGACACAATAGTAGTTATAAACATTATTAGTATATTTATATATATTGTATATAATTATTAAATAAATTTTTTTTAAAAATAATAAAAAAAAATTAGTGTTTTATTATTAGGATTCTGTATTCTAAACATAATATATATATATATATAATTAAATGATTTAATTAAATTAATAAAATTAGTATGAAATATAAATTTTTTGAAAAATTATTATTATTATTATTAATATATTTAATTTTCAACAAAAATGTTGTCTCATATATTAATTATATACAGTATATACAGTATATATATGGGCTGTTATCCTACACATGAGGAACAACACCTGGAAACCTATGGGCCATAAAAAAAATTTACCGGTTTTTTTTGGCGGCACTGTTTGTATAAGGATAAGGGATGAATAACAGTTTTTTTGGGGGGGGGGAAAGGGAAATAAGTTCAATGGATATATTTTATTATATTGATATATATGTTACCCGATTGGATCAAATAAATGAAAAATAATTCAAGTATTTACTTGWGTTTTAATTGAGTTTTTATTTTATTTTATTTTTTTAATTAACAAAGATTTTATTAATAATTTTAAGCTTATTTTGTATAATATATATTTATTTATTTATTTATAAGAATCAAAATTAAAGTTTTAATTGTTTTTTATATTACTATTATTTATCTATTTTTTAAATATATTGATTAAAAATATACTTTAAAAAATTATAAATAATTATAAATAAAAAAAATAAAAAAAATATTATAAATAAAAAATTAATTATTAATAAAAAATTAATTATAAATACAATAATTATTTGTTAATTTCATTTCATTAATTATTAATATATATATTTTTTATAATTTTCATTATTTTAAATTTTTAATAACATTATATATAATTATATATAAAATTATTGATGACATCTATACTTATGATAAATTAGTGATGATTTTTTCCTAAACATTTTATTACAATCATTGAMATCACATTTAAATGGTTTAATTCCTGAATGCAAACGTCGATGTCTATACCAATTAGATTTATCGCCAAATTGTTTGTGACAGTTATCGACATCACATTTRTATGGTTTTGATTTAAATGTATTTTAATTACATGTGCTTTCAAATGATAGTTTGTTGTATAAGTTTTATTACAATTTAATTGACAACATTTGTATCGTTTATTGAAATGTACAGTAGATTTATGTTCAGTTAGTAATGTATTTCTAGTAAAACATTTACGACAATCAYTRWWATCGCAAACATATCTTATATKTAAATGTTTAGCATTTTTATGATAGTTTAGTGATGTCTGMSWWTTGAATGTTTTACGACAATCATTACAATTGATTAGTTTTTTCGGTGATAAATGAATCAATTGATGTCTAATTAAATGATATTCATTATTAGTATTGTACCGACATTTAGGCCAAACACACGTGAATCGCGTGTTATTATTGTTGTTATCCACACGTGTGTTGTTGWTCGTTGATGTCATAACAGTCACTATAATCAATGATTTTCATTGAAATGCAATCATTAGTTGTTTGGATATTCATTGCATTCAATCCATCAATCGKTTYACACAAAACATCACTATTTWCTGATAAACTATTTGTTTGTTTATCAATAATACTATTGTTTAATGWTTTTAATTCATTTAATTTYATTAACATATACTCAATATTAACTAATTTATTATTAATTAACTCCATATTTATTATTATTATTATTATTAAACTTAATAGTAAATTTTTAAAAATCAATAACAATAATAACAAAATATTGAAATACTAACTAAAGTTAATAATATTTTTCTGGTATTTATTATATWTTTTTCAGTAWATACAGTATAAAACAATATAACTGATATTGAATGAGAGTTTAGCTATAAATACAGTATATATATTGTAATTTGTAAAACATATGTGTTATATATATACACAATATGTTTGTCAAAAAAAATTTATATCATAAATGATTTATTTTAACAATATATATGATATGTTATTGAAAACAAATTACTGYATAATTTAATGATATCTGATATATGTTTTTATTACAATTGAATTACATTTRAATAGTTTATGWGACAATTGATTGTATTAAATGTTTTTTTTAAATATTTTTTTCGTTTTAAATCTACATTTAGGCCAAAAACACGTGAATCGCGTGTTATTATTATTATCMACACGTGTGTTGTTGTTGTTGTCATAACAGTCACTATAATCAGTGATTTTTCATTGAATTCAATAATCATTTATTGTTATAAAATAGTCATTGAATTCAAGCCATCAATTGCTTTACAAACAAAACAATACTAAATATTATATATATTATAAACTATTTGTTTAAAAATATCAATACTATTGTGTAATGATTTTCAAATTCAAAMAATTTATTTTAACATWTATTTTAGAAATTTTATTATTTATTKAATTTAATTATATTATTATTATTATTGAAAAAAATATTCACAACAACAACAACAAAAATAGCTTTAAATATATCGATAATATTTGAAAATACTAAATAAAATAACTAAAATAAATTGTTTATTATTTTATGTGTGTTTTTTTGCATTATTTATTATTATAACTATTATATACAGTATAATAATAATAATAATAATACTTTATGAAAATAAGTTTCAGATCACTTAATAAGATAACACATGTTTTATTGCTATATTGTTATAAATAATAATCTATGTCTCATTTTGCTTAAATAAATACTGTATAACACATGTTATATATATATATATATATATATATATATATAGAGAGAGAGAGAGAGAGAGAGAGAGAGAGAGAGAGAGAGAGAGAGAGAGAGAGAGAGAGAGAGAGAGATTATTTTTCTAAATATTATTATTAATTTATTTTTGTTAAAAATAACTATATATTAATATAATATATAAATAAAATTATTATTATATATATTTTATATTTGTTTAGTATAATTTTAAATAAATAATTAAATAATATGCATAATTATCATGCAAAAATGTTTATTAATTGATAAATTAATTAATACATTATTAATACAAATATAAATATTGTATGATTTTTATTTGTTTAAAATTTTAAATCATATTAAAGTATTAATAAAAAACAGTATTTATTTAATTTTTTTAATTAAGTTACTTTTATAATAAATAGCAAAAAATAATATATTAATTAAAAATCAATTAAAAACAAAGATATTTTATTTAAATTTTTTTTGTTTATATGATTTCTTGTGTAATTTTTGAATTAAATTAATTATTTATTTAGTTTTTTAGATATACATATATATCATATGCGAAATTAAATAAATGTAAAATAATTATTTTTATCAACAATTACAKATATATATAAATTTATGATTCATAACTAATAAAATTWATTAAATAAYAAAAATAATAATAATATATTATATTATTAATAATGCATACAATATGTGATTACTAATAATAAKTTTTTTTTAAAAAATAATCTATTGTTGTTAAGTTACTTAATCAAACAAAATAAAATAATAATAATAATAATTTATTATAGAAAATTCTAGAATAATATTATCATTATTATATATAATTATATATATATATATATATATAATATTTACAACATATATATATTTAAAGTATATATATATAWATAATATTATGAATCATTATTAGATTTTTCTAGTTTTTTCTATTATATATATATATATAATTATTATCATTATATACAGTATATATATACACACAATATTATTAAATAATATTATGAATCACATTATTAATGATATCAAACACAAAAAAAACAAAACAAAAATTATATGCTATATAAAGTCAAGTCAATTATATATACAGTTAWATAATTAATTATAAGTTATAYAAAAAAAAATAAATTTTTATTATAACATTTACATTAATTKACTATTTTTTTTAAATTTAAAAATTTWAATTTAATTATTTTTTAACTAAATAATAATTATTATAAYAACAACAATGGGCGCTATTATATCSTATWTGWATCCCGAACCTGAATCAACCCTGGCCATTTACTGGGACATTGAAAACTGTCAAATACCGTACCGTAAGTCACCGGCCACTGTAGTSGRYAGTCTGCGTAACTTTATTGACCGTAACTATGGCTACCCGAAWSAAAAACAGCCGAAAATTTTCGATTGTGTCGGCAATTTTGACGGTATTGGCCAACATGTTSACGGWCTYCGRGCWTCGGGAGCCCAGTTGGTCGCCATACYGGCCGGTTCGGGWCGTAATGCAGCCGATCGGGTACTAACCAAACGTATGGGCCAACTGATCGATAGCCTCAGTGGCCAAYCATTAGCGGCTAAAAAATCGATATTAGTTTTAATAACCGGTGACCAGGATTTTCATGCGATTATAAGTGATGCAAAAAATTCGGGTCTAATTGTTGTACTAATTCATAGGGAAAATGTTTCCCAAAAAATGATATCATTGGCTAATAAATCCATATTATTTGATGATCTATTAAATGATTATTAACTAATAATAATAATAATAATTATTATTATTATTATTACTATTTAATAATTATTACACAAAAGTGTAMTAAYAATMACAAGCTTTGAAGTTATATATATATATATATATAATACTAAATTAATTATATAATTATTAATTAATATAATAGCTTAATTAATTAATTAATTAATTATTTTTTTTATAAATTTTTCATTATAATTTTTATTTTATTTTATTTTTTAAATAAATAGTTTGTCAAAACAACTACAATAGATTGCTAAATGTTTTATTTGTTTTTATAAATTAAAAAAAACATTTTCACTTATATATTGATTGATTTTTTAAGTAAAAAAACTTTTTTTTTACCAATAATTGTTTACATATATCACAAACATTTATTTAATAAAAATATTTAAAAAAAAATTTTATCAATTTTTTAATTTATTTGTATTTCATAAGTAACATAACAACTATAATATAGATATATTTTTATTATTAGTTATCATTATTACGGTATTATTATTAATAGTTATTAATAATAATAACTATTACTATTATTACTATAATTAAACTATTGCATTGGATAAGCTTACTATAGTTAATAAGTGGTAAAAAACTAATTAATTATTATTATTACAGTATTATGATTACTAATAAATAGCAACAATATATATATTTATTTTACTATATTATCAAAAAAGTATTATTGAACCACAAGTTTAGGCTATTTTTTTCAAGTAATTAATTTTATTCATTTAAAGTATATAATACATTAAATACTATATATATATATATATATATTATGATATTATAAACAGTGATATCCTTTTATTTTGACTTTTCCTGTTTGCTCTCTCTCTCTCTCTCTCTCTCTCTCTCTCTCTCTCTCTCTCTCTCTCTCTCTCTCTCTCTCTCTCTCTCTCTCTCTCTCTCTCTCTCTCTCTCTCTCTCTCTCTCTCTCTCTCTCTTAATCAGTAACTTACATACAGTTTCCGATACACTAAAATCACATATTTTTTTCTCAACCATTAATTAACTAAAACTTAATACTGTAATACTAACTAACACTAAAATACTACTAAATATAAACTATCAAAAAAAAATATAACGGATTTTATACATATTTTATATATCTATTGCTATTTCAAACACAATATATGAAACAAACAAAAAATTATTGCTATTGTTTTAATCAATATTTAGTTATTACTGTTGTTTTAATAATTTTTTTTCTCTAAATGTGAACTCAATTAGTAATGAAATTAATAATTTAAAACATAAGATATATTAAGTAAATTAAAATCATTAGATTATAGTATTAAAACAAAATCCAAAAAATTGACTAAAATTAGTGTTATTTTGTGTGAAACAATCAAATATTTAAATACAGTGAATATCCAAACAAAAAATGATTGCATTTCAATAAAAATCATTGATTATAGTGACTGTTATGACAACAACAACAACAACACACGTATGGATAACAACAATAACACGCGATTCAAGTGTTTTTGGCCTAAATGTCGGTATAAAACAATTAGTAGACAACATTTAATTAGTCATCAATTGATTCATTTATCAAATAATAAACATTACAAATGTAATAATTGTTATAAAATGTTCAAAAGTCATTCAGGTTTGTTAGATCATAAAAATACTGAACATTTAAATATAAAATATGTTTGCGATTACAACGATTGTCGCAAATGTTTTACTAGAAATACACATTTAAATCAACATAAATCTAGCGTTCATTTTAATAATAAGTTTAAATGCTTTTATGAAAATTGTAATAAAATATTTACAACAAAATATAATCTAAAATCACATGAAATTCAATTTCATTCAAAACTAGAGTTATTTAAATGTGATGTCGAATATTGTAATAAAACATTTTCAACAAATAGTGATTATAAAATACATAAATTAATTCATTTAAAGACAACAAAAATACAATTTAAATGTTCAGTTAAGGAGTGTTTGAAAACATTTACAACAAATCATTGTTTACGACAACACTTATCAAGAGATCATTCAATTGAACCCCAATTCAAATGTGATTACAATAGTTGTGGCAAATATTTTGCAAATTTACAATGTTTTAGACAACATAAACAAATTCATTATCGAAATTAAAAAAAATCATTTCAAATGTGATGTTTAGATAACTGTTTGCTAAACAATTTGCTACTAAATCTGTACTTTCATTACATCAATAAAAAAACATTCAATCATTAAAATCCTAATTTAAATGTAATGTCAATGAATGTAATCAATGTTTTTCACAAAAATGAAATCTACATTAAATTATCATAATTATCAAATTGTCATTATATAAGTTTTTTAAAAAAAAATTATTAGTTGAATTTTTAGTACAAATAATACAAACAAATAATAAAATATATAAAAGTAATTTTGTAATTTTGATAACTATAATAATAATTTACTTAACCATAATTTATATAATAATTTTTATTATTAAATAGTATTACAGAAACTTAATAATTTTTGTATTAATTTTAATAAATTTTAAAGTTATTAAAATACTTTATTATATGTATTAGAAAATAAAAATGTTATTTTTTGAATAAAATAAAATGTCTGTAATTTTTGTTTATTAGTCTTATGTAACAAACTATATATGAAATATAATTTAATTAAACATAAAATTATTCATTTATCTAAAAAATAAATAAATTTAAATGTAATTTCACTAATTCTAACAAAAATTATTTTTATATTATATATATAATATAATTAAATATATATATATATATTGATTCTTAATGTAATAAATAAATTAATGTTTAAAAAATTATAATTAATAAATTTAATGATTAAATAAAAGTTTTATATACTTTTATATACAGTACTTTTAATATGACTTTTCATCTCTCTCTCTCTCTCTCTCTCTCTCTCTCTCTCTCTCTCTCTCTCTCTCTCTCTCTCTCTCTCTCTCTCTCTCTCTCTCTCTCTCTCTCTCTCTCTCTCTCTCTCTCTCTCTCTCTCTCTCTCTCTCTCTCTCTCTCTCTCTCTCTCTCTCTCTCTCTCTCTCTCTCTCTCTCTCTCTCTCTCTCTCTCTCTCTCTCTCTCTCTCTCTCTCTCTCTCTCTCTCTCTCTCTCTCTCTCTCTCTCTCTCTCTCTCTCTCTCTCTCTCTCTCTCTCTCTCTCTCTCTCTCTCTCTCTCTCTCTCTCTCTCTCTCTCTCTCTCTCTCTCTCTCTCTCTCTCTCTCTCTCTCTCTCTCTCTCTCTCTCTCTCTCTCTCTCTCTAACTAATACTAAAAACTATTAAATATAAACTATCAAAAACCAGTTAAGAATGCTAGAAAGCATTTTCAGAAAAAAAAAACTTGAATAACATTGAAAACTATTAGTTTTATAATTATAGCGGCTATATAATAACATAAAAATTTAAAAACTGGTCAAATATACATAATATAAATATTGTAATGTATGGTATCAAATGATTAAGTATGACAAAATAAAAAACTATAGTCATGTGGGGTATCAAATGATGTAGTATAACAAAATAATAATCTATAATTATACATTTGCCGCTTATACTTATTCTTTTTGTTCCCGTAGATATCAAAATTTAATGCATATTTTTTATCCTTGTTTTTGATTCTTTCTTCAAATCTATATTTAAAAAAAATTCTTAAAATTTTTTATACTTTTGCCATTTTTAAAAAAAAATTATACTGATATATTATATCATATTTTTGATACTCTTTACAATTCTAAACGTTAAAATTTTTACCTAATTTATTTTACTTTGGCCGCCATTTTCTTTATGTTCCCGAAGAGATATCAAAATTTTAATGTATATTTTTTATTCTTGTTTTTGATGCTATATTCAAATCTATACTTAAAAAAAATTTTCTTAATTTTTTTTTAATTTGGCCGCCATTTTGTCTATGTTCCCGAAGAGATATCAAAATCTTAATTAAACTTTTCAATACATTATTAGTAGTCCTCTAACCGAATCTGAAGTCAGAATTTCAAAATTCGCAAAATGAAATGCTACACACAGACAGACACTCAAAAAGCCATTATAGATTTCAGATATATCAATAATGTATTTCTAATATATATATTCTTTTATTTAATCATAATTTATTTTTGCATCATCTTTATTAATACGTTAACTTTATTATTTTGTAAACTTCAACATTATTTAATAACAGTATTTATAAGTTTGATTTATAGTAAGACAGCACTTTTAAGTAATATTATTTATTAAAATATTAAAAAAATTTCTGTTTGACCTAACCTAACCTAAGCATACATTACCATACATTACCATACATTACCATACATTACCATACATTACCATACCTTACCATACATTACCATACATTACCATACATTACCATACATTACCATACATTACCATACATTACCATACATTACCATACATTACCATACATTACCATACATTACCATACATTACCATACATTACCATACATTACCATACATTACCATACATTACCATACATTACCATACATTACCATACATTACCATTTTTTTACTTTAGCCGCCATTTTCTCTATGTTCCCGAAGAGATATCAAAATTTTAATGCATATTTTTTCAGCTCTTTATTCTCTCTCTCTCTCTCTCTCGAAGAGATCTCTCTCTCTCTCTCTCTCTCTCTCTTTTCTCTATGATCCCGAAGAGATATCAAAATTTTAATGCAACTTTTCAATACATTATTAGTAGTCCTCTAACCGAATCTGAAGTCAGAATTTCAAAATTCGCAAAATGAAATGCTACACACAGACAGACAGACAGACTCAAAAAGCCATTATAGATTTCAGAAAACAAAACTTTTCAAGTTTTTTTTGATATATACATCAGTTTATACAAACAAAAAATTTCAATATAATATTACTTAATTTTATTGTTAATTATTGATAATAAAAAATCAATAGATTTAAAGTTAAATTTTTTTTTAATAGTAATTATTAATATAAAACAAATAATTAAATAAACTTTAGTTAAGTAATAGTAATAGTTTT